AACTATCTACTGGGGCTTTGGGGGGAAAAAATAAATAAATAAATAAAAATTTAAGAAAAAAACACAAAGTGGAATCAGTCAGAAGGCAAGGGTATAGGGGAATAATTTCCCAATACTTCTCTAGTAAACTCAAACTTTAATTTCTTCTTTGGAGTAAAACAGGCTCTTCACTGTTTACAAGTTTACAAGGATATATCTGAGTTGCAAAAATTCTCTCCATGTTTTTTTTTTTCTCTGTGTTCCCCTGTTCAATCTTGGCTGCCACACGCAGACAGACAGAAAGCTCGAGGACACTTTTTTCTTCAGTCTGCCGTGGAAACATTAGCAGCAGACAGTAACTGCTCAAGGTCTGTCAAATAGATATAGCTCTGCTAATCTTTGATTGGATGCCAGACATTGTGACTTTTACCTTGTTGGGTGCTGGATATTTTTTCTTATTTCTATAAATATTTTTGAGGTTTTTTTCTGGGATACAGTTAAGTTCATTGGAAACCGTTTGAGGCTTCAGATCTTGCTTATATGATGTTAGGAGGGTTCGGAATAGTATTGAGTCTAGGGCTAATTATTCCTTACTGCTTGCAAAACTTTCCTGAGTATTCTACCCAATGCTCCATGAATTACGAGGCTTAACAGTCTGGCTGGTGGGAAGAGTTACTGTCCCCAGCCCTGTGTGAGTGCCTGTCACTGTTCCCGCTAATCCTGTTGCATATTTCCTTCCCCATCATCATGCAGTTTCCTCGCACATGTACAGTGATTAGTGCTCTGCAGATCTCCGAGGTTCTCTCTCTGTGCGGTTCTCTCCTTTTCAGCACGCTGTCTTATGACTCAGTTGCCTTGGTCTTCCCAGACTTCCGTGTCCATCTCCTCAACTCAGCATCTGCCAGGTTCCACCTCAGCCCCACTCCCTGCACCTTGACCTGGACACTCACTCAAGGCTGTAAGCTAGGGCAACCATAGGACACAATTTTTGTGTTTCCAATCTATCAGGAATCACTAGCCTTCATGGCATGATGTTCGGTGTCTTAAAAATCATTGTTTCATGTATTTTGTCTCTCTGTCTGTTTCAGGTATGAAAGTCAACCCAGTCCCTGTTACTCCCTCTTGGCCGGAAATGAAGATGGCAATATTAAAAGAGATGACTTGGCTGATGCAGGATTATGATCTGTTCATCTGGACCCTGAGGTGACTTGATGGCATCCTGATGCCGGTGTACAGAATTTCTCAACTTTTGTGGGAACATCCTCAGCCAACAGACCTTGCACACATGGATGTTGCCAGCTCTGGTTGCTATTGTCAGGTTTTCCTGTAATTTAGAGCTGATTACTCTTTGACATTTTGTGCAAAGGCTGCTAGCCAAAATCGGGTCCAAAATTTCCCTCTATAGTGAGAAAAGATTCATACATCCTTGTGTTATTCTTAGACGTTCATCGAATGTATATGTACCTCCCAGTCTAGGGATACGCACCTTCTCAATCACTTGTTTATGTCAAGCTTCACCATCTTTCAGCAAGATTGTATACTTTTCTTCGCTTAGTCTTGCTCTTTTCCAGACAAATTTATTCCTAGGTATTTTGTAGTTTGTGTAGCTATTGTGAATTGGACAAATTTTATTTTCTCATTTTGAACTTTTTGTTCTAGTGTCAAGGAAAGCTGTTGATCTTGTACAGCTGTCCTGTATACAGAAACCTTTTCAAATTGTCTTAATTAGTTTAGGTTTCTTTTCTTACAGGAGTCACCCGGATGTTTTAGGTACACATTTCTTCTGCATATACAGTAGTCCTCCCTTATTTGCGGTTTTGTTTTCTGCAGTTTCAGTTTACCTGTAATCAACTGCAGTCTGAAAATATTAAGTGGAAAATTCCAGAAATAAACAATTTATAAGTTTTAAATTGAGTGCCTTTCTGAGTAGTGTGATGAAATCTCACGCTGTCCCACTCCGTCCCACTCGGTATGTGAATCATCCCTTTGTCCAGCACATCCGCACTGTATACACTACCTACCCACTAGTCACTTAGTAGCCATCTCCGTTATCAGATCAACTGTCACAGTACACAGTGCTTGTGTTCAAGTCACCCTTATTGTACTTACTAATGGCCCCAAAGCACATGAGTAGTGATGTTGGTAATTCGGATATGCCAGAGAGAAGCCGTAAAGTGCTCCCTTTAAGTAAAAAGGTGAAAGTTCTCGACTTAACAAGGAAAAAAAAATCGAATGCTGAGGTTGCTAAGATCTTCAGTAAGAACAAATCTTCTGTTTCTGAAATTGTGAAGAAGGAAAAAGAAATTTGTGCTAGTTTTGCTGTCACACCTCAAATATGTATGTACAGGGAAAAACATAGAACATATAGGGTTTGGTGTATCTGTGGTTTCAGGCATCCCCTGGGGGTCTTAGAACGTATCCCCCACAGCTAAGGGGGGACTACTGTACAGATAATTGTCGCCTGTTCTTTATCGATGTGTAGAGTTATTCCTTTTCTTGTCTTATTACTTTAGCTAAAAACCTCCAAACACAATGTTGGAAAGGGTGATGAGAGGAGTCATTCCTGTTTTTAATGAAAATGGCTCTGGCATTTAACTACCATATGTCATATGCCATCTGTCCTTGGTAATCAGGTAATTTGATAACCACGTTCAAGCAGTTTCCTTATATTTCTGTTTGACTTAGAATTTACATAAGGTGGGCCGGCCCTGTGGCTTGGTGGTTAAGTGCGCGCGCTGCGATGCTGGTGGCCCGGGTTCGGATCCCGGGTGTGCATCGAGGCACCACTTCTCCGTCCATCCTGAGGCCGAGTCCCACATACAGCAACTAGAAGGATGTGCAGCTATGACATACAACTATCTACTGGGGCTTTGGGGGGAAAAAATAAAATAAATAAAATCTTTAAAAAAAAAAATAATAAAAATAAATTTCTGTTGTTTGTAAACCACCAGTCTAAGGTATTCTGTTACAGCAGCCTAAATGGACTAAGATAGGGCAAACCAGGATATTATCTCATCACATCCTCCTTAATCGCATCAATGCAATTAGTTTTGTTGACAGAGGAGACTATACTGCTGACTATTGTGCCACACTGCTTGACCGTCCATGACCTTCCTCCCGAGCCCCAGGTTCCTGCAGCCTCCTGCGTCGCCTCCTCTAGAAGTCTCTGGGACCTCCCACATGCACCATGACACCAGTTGGCCTCAGTGTCTCCCCCAAACCTGCTCCTTCTCCCTGCACCTTATCTCAGGGACAGCCTCTTTGTCCCCCCGTCTCCAGAGCAGAGCACTGGGCCTTTTCCTAAATGCCTTCGTCACCCCCACTCCCTCATGGCCCGCCAGCCCCACAGCCTGTCCACAGGCCTCCTGAGCATCGCTCCACCTGGCCCCTCCCCTCCTCCCCACACCAGGCTTTGGTCCAGCACCATCCTCTTCTGCCCAGGTCCATGGCTTATTGCCTCCCTGGATCTCTGCCTCCGGTCCTGAGCCATCCTCCACAGGGCAGCCAGGGGCATCTTTCTACATCTGACCACAGCCTTCGGCTTCTCACCTCTGATAATTCCCAAGATCCATAACATGACCTCAGCGGCGTTGCCTGCTCTGGGGCTTTGCTGTCTCATCGTGGACAAGCTGGTCCCGCTGTCTGCCCTGGTGTCCCCTCAGAGTGCGTGTCCCCTGGGCCTCTACTCCTGGAGTGGAGGACTGGAGGGGCACGGTCAGAGGACCTCCATAGTCGCTTCACCCAAGACCTCCGGGGAGGGGCTGGAGTTGAGCCCACCGGGTGGACAGGGAGTGGAGTACAACGGCACATTTGATTCTCGCCTTTCAGTCTCCTTTTCCCCTTCCTGACAGCACATTTTCCTTATAAGAACTGCCCTTCCTCACACATAAGCAAGAGGTTAGGGTGGGACTGACAGCTCCAGGGGTGGGCTCTGACTGGCTTAAACCAATCAAGGTCCCATCCCTCAGGCAGTGTGAGTGGTAAAGTGGTGAGCTTATGACACAACCTCATCCAATCAGAGTAACTGACAGGGCTTTTGCTTGGGAAAGTTGGACTCCAGCCCCTTCTTTCTCTGGACAATAAGACTTGTGGGGGGCCCACCCCGTGGTGTAGCGGTTAAGTGCGCACGCTCCGCTTCAGCGGCCCGAGGGTTCGCAGATTCAGATCCAAGCACGCACGGACGCACCACTTGTCAAGCCATGCTGTGGCAGCGTCCCATATAAAGTAGAAGAAGATGGGCATGGATATTAGCCCAGGGCCAATCTTCCTCGGCAAAAAGAGGAGGATTGGCATCGAATGTTAGCACAGGGCTGACCTTCCTCACAAAAAAAAAAAAAAAAAAGACGTGGATGTGCAGCTTCAAACCATGAGGGGGGCTGGCCTGAGGTCAGAGACCACACTCAGAGGAGGGCAGAGCAGGGAAAGCGACAGAGAAATGGAGCCAGAATCCTCTGGACATTAAGGACTTCTGGATCAAACTGTACCTGAAGCCTATATTAACAAAGCCCATAAATTACCATTTCCATATTGACTATTTGAGTGAAATTTTTGCTACTTGCAACTAAAACAAAAATCCTAACCTCTCCAGAGTGCCCTTCTTAAGCTAGACACTAGATAGGTGTTGACATTCAAAATATTTAATGACTGATATGAAACCTGGGTCTGAACAATCAGACAGACTGCAGGCTATAGCAATGGGCCTGTGTCACGGAGGAGCTGCTGGACTGTAGGGGGCACCTGGGGAGGGGCTGAGTTGGCAGGCACACAGAGAAGCCACTGCTTGCCAGCTGGCAGAGGAGTTTGATATGTTAATGACTTACGTGCTGTGTGGTACAAACTAACTAAACATGAACACTTACAAGATCCCCCAGCTGGTCCTGAAATGAGGCTTTATTTGGGTCTGAAGAAGTGAAAATTCAAGCAAAACAGAAAGAAAAGCCTGGGACGGGTGACTGGCTGCATTTCCAAGATGGCCCAGGCAGTGAGGGCGGAGGGCGGCAGGGCTGGGGCAGGCGAGAGGCTCAGGCCAGCGACCTCCTCCTCGAGGTCTCCTCAGGCTCGGCCGCGTTCTCCTCGGCCACCCTGGAGACGGCTCTGGAGCTAACCCTGGAGCCGACCCTGGAGCCGGCCCTGGCTTTGGTCCGAGAGGGACTGCTGAAGACTCTGGAGGAGGTGACGTAGGTGGAGTAGGACTCCGAGGCGATGATGTTGTTGATCTTCCAGCGGAGGACGTTGCAGGCCTTCACCATCAGCGGTAAGAGGAGGCAGAAGGCGATGTAGAGGAGCACCAGGCCGACGAACAGGCTGGCCGACACCTGCAGGCCGCACAGCAGGCGTGGGCGGGCAGTGTGGGCGGGCGGGCAGCCCGGGCCCACCCACCGCGGGGCAGCTCCCGCAGCCACTCACCATGAGGATGAACAGGGCCCGCTTGGCACTGAGGGGGAGTCCGTGGATGTGCAGCAGGAAGGTCAGCTGGTGGTCACAGTACGTGCTCTTGTCCACGCCTCTGGGGGAGGCAGTGCAGGATTGGGGGAGGAGGCGGGCCCCGCACAGGAAGCCCCCGACCCCACCTGGGCCCCATGCCCGGCTCACCTGTTGCTCACCAACACCTTGAAGAAGAACTCGGGGGCGAAGATGCTATGGGGAACGGTGTCATGGCACGGGGAGTTCTCCAGACACAGCCACCTGGGGGCCCAAGTTCAGGTACTTGGGTGACAAACCATGCCTAGCATGTGCCAACCCGATTTCTCCACAAACCCCACGAACTCCGCGTGAGCCCCCACGAGGCGCAATCTCACACCTTCCCTGACTCACACCTTCATTCATTCATCCAAGAAAGCTGACGAGCGCCTGCCACGCCACAGGCTGCTCGTGTCCTCGGTCATTTCCTGCTGCCTGTACACCTCCATCCGGCCGTTCCCCCTCACCATGCGTTCACCTAGATTACGGACTGTATACCCTTCATGTGCCAACTCCTCATTTATTCCCTGCTGCCCTCACTCCTTCATCCCACAAATAGAGCCTGAGCACCTACTAGGTACAATGTCACGCCTTCGTGCATTTATTCCTTCCTGAATTCATCTGTTCAATAAACACAGGTTGAACGCTGCCTAGGCACAAGATGGTTACTTCGTTCATCCATTTACTGCCTTCATTTGCTCATGGCATCATTTTCTTCCTTTCACTGAATCCAAAATAGCTATTGAGCCCCTCTATACTAACTTGTGCCTCCGTTGTTTTATTCATTCCTTAAGACCTCCACTCAAATGTCAGTAAATGCCTACTACGAATTATTTAGTGAATTTGTTCATTGTCTCACTCAACAAATACTGTGTTGACTCTATTCAGGACCTGTGCCTACAAGGGAGACAGACCCCACAGGAGACAGTGATGGCCCAGAGAGGTCAGAGCTGGGATGGGGGGGGCACAGGCAGGAGTCAGGGCTGGATGGCGGCACAGGCAGAGAGGTCAGAGCTACGATGGGGGGGGCACAGACAGAGGGGTCAGGGCCGGGATGTGGGGACACAGGCAGAGGGGTCAGGGCCAGGATGGGGGTACAGGCAGAGGGGTCCAGGCGGGATGGGGGACACAGGCAGAGGGGTCAGAGCCGGGATGTGGGGCACAGACAGAGGAGTCAGGACCGGGATGGGGGGTGCAGGCAGAGGGGTCAGGGCCTGGATGGGGGGCGCAGGCAGAGGGGTCAGGTGAGAATGGGGGAAGCACAGGAGGCCATGGGAGCCAAGTGTCCCATCTAGAACAGTCAGAAGTCCTCCCGGAGGAAGGGGCATCTGAACTAAGGCGGGAAGAAAGAGTAAGAGGGACCAGCACTGCACAAAGAGGGTCCAGCCTATGTAAAGGTCATTCGCATTTGAGGAACACGAAGGCGTTCAGCGTGGCTTGAAGATCAAGAGGTCTCCCAGAGGCAGAATGAACTGTGGGCAGGTGGGGGAGAAGGCGGCCTGCAGCGGGGCCGTGCACTCACTCGATGCCCAAGCTCTGGTGGGACATGATGTTGAAGGCCGAGTCCTTGGTGGTCGTCCTGTTCTTCGTGGTCCAGATGAGGCTGTCGGTCCTGCAGGACCGCGTGACCTCAGCGGGGGCGGGGCGGGGCCTCAGCCGCCGCACAGGGAGGCCAGCAGTGCGGGCAGGGGGCGGGGTGAAGCCTTTGGTGGGCGGGGCCTCGCGGTGTGGGCGGGGCCAGAGCCCTGCGGTGGGCGGGGCTTGCAGCGAGGGTGGGTCTGCCGACGCGCAGCAGGGGAGGAAGGCCGATTCCGGGCCGGGTCTCACAGGGATTACCTGTCCAGGGGGCTGTTGAAGCGGTAGATGTCCTCCTCGCTGTATTCCTTGATGCTGTCCAGGGTGGGCCCGCCGCCCACCACCTTCAGCACGTAGCTGCCGGGAGCAGAGGTGCGCATGTCCGGCCTCGGCGTCCGGAGTCCTGCGTCACCTCTACCACGCTCCCCTACTCTGCCCCCCTACCCACCCCAGCCGCCCCACACCCGTCAGCCGCTGGCTTGGCCACGCCTTTACCTGCCCTGAAAACTGCCCGACTCTCCCGTCACCAAATCTTGGATCAGGAAGAAGGGGTAGAAGACTGTGGGGTCGGAGCGGGTGGAGGCCGGGAGGAGAAGCAATTAGCTTGGCCCGAGAAGTGGAGGACGGAGAGGGGAGGAAGGAGAGATGAGAGGCCGGTGGGGGGCGCGCACAGGGGAGGCGGGCAGGCAGGAAGGGCGAAGCGCACAACGATCTGGACCCGCACCGTCGCGGAAGAGGAAGCAGGGCATCTCCGGGTCGACGTGCACGCAGTCGAAGTAGTGTTTGTTCTGCAGGCGGTTGTACTGCAGCGTGTAGGTGATGTCGAAGGCCAGCCGCTTGCCGGGGGGGCAGCCGATGAGCACTGGCACCAGCAGGTTGCCCTGAGGAGGGGGGAGAAGAACCTCGTGCTGGACGCCCCACACACACACCCCTTCTCCCACCGCCAACACCACCACCTGCCAGGCTCACCCTCACCAGGGGGCAATAGGATCATTATCATCGTTGAAACAGTAACTGCCACCGCTTATGCAGCTCTTACTGTGCGCAGGGCACAGGGTGATGTTCTAAACGCTTTACATATTCAGATCCATTTAATCCTCAAAACAGCCTTGCATGGTAGAGACTATTCATATCTCCATTTTAGAGATGGCAAAAGTGAGGCACAGAGAGGTCAAGCCGCTAATTAATGATCCAAAGCCACACAGCTGGTAAGTGGCAGAGCTGGGATCGTGGAACTGAGACGGGGTGGCTCTGGCCACCTCCAGAGGAAGACGTATAAACACAACCGCTGATACCCACACCCGGAGCGGCCAACTCCTAGCAGACTGCGTAGGGCTGAAGTTGGGCCTGAATTCTCAAATACTAGACCGGGGGAGCATGGGCTCGATGAGGGCAGTAGAGCCCAGGATGGGGGTCAGGGAACCCATGACATTGTCTTCAGGGTGAACAGCCCATGGCTCATTTCAGGGTGAGGGCCCAAGGGTTTCACCCAATTGTCAGAGGGACAGGGGCATCCAGAGACTGTGGCCTGGGCTTGACAGCGACCGTAGACAGGTGTCGGTGGCTGTAGATGAAGCACTTCCCATGCTAGGCCTGGGCCAGAGGCTTTACCCTGTTGGCCACTGGCTCACTGGGAGGTCTGACGGGCATCTCAGATTCCATTTAGCCACAACCCATCTCGGACTGTGGCACCTCATCCTCCACGTTCAGGCTCAAAGGCTTGGCCTCAGCCTGGAAACCTCTCTCTCTCTCTCTCTCCCAAACATCCAGTCCATCCAGATATCCTGTTGTCTCTGAACTTCAAAATAGAGCCATTCTCTCTCCCGACGCCTCGACTTCTCCGCCTCACCCTTGCCTGCCCACCCTTGTTTCCTCCCTGGTCTCCCATCTGTCCCCCACATGCAGCCAGAGGGACCCTGTGGACGCCCGAGCCGCTCCTCTGCTCAGAGCTCTCCCGGGACGCCATCTCGCTCGCCACGGCCCGCCAGGCCTCAGTGATCTGCCCCCATCACTGCTCTGACCTCGTCTCTCTCCACCTTCCTCCTTCCTCACCCTGATCCAGCCACACTTGCTTCTCGCTGTTCCTTTAGCCTAACACAAGAAACATCCTCCTGCCTCCAGGCCTTTCCACCATCATCCCTCTCGGGTATGCCTTTCTCATTCATAACCCCGTGGCTCACTTCCTCCCCTCCTTCAAGTCTTTGCTCAATGCCTCCTCCTCAGCCAGGCCTTCCCTGGACCATCCTATGGAAAATGCTCACCTCCCCGCTGCCCCTCGCTGCTAGTTTTTCTCCTCTTAACACACAGTGTCTTTTATTTATCTTTCTTATTGCCTGACTCTGTTGTGGGTTGACCTAATTTGGAATAGGGTCTTTACAGATGTCATCAAGTTAAGATGAGGTCATCGTGGATTAGGGTGGGCCCTAACCCAATGACTGGTATCCTTACAGGAAGAGGGAAATGTGGACACAGACACACAGGGAGAACGCCTTGTGATGACAAAGGCAGAGACTGGAGTGACGCTTCTACAAGCTGAGGACTGTTACAGATTATCAACAACCACGAGAAGCTAGGAGAGAGGCACGGAACAGATTCTCCCTCAGAACCTCGGACCTCTGGCCTCCAGAACTGGATGAGAAGGAATTCCAGTCTGCAGCAACTTGTTATGGCAGCCCCAGAAAACAAACACACACTCCCCCCAGAACATCAGCTTCACGGGGACAGGAATTTTGTCCGTTTTGTACACAGCTGTAACTCCAGCACCTAAAAAAATGCTGGTGTGTGGTAGGCGCTCAGCGAATGTTGGTGGAATAAATGAATAAGTTTCAGGCACAGGACGTGAAATCTGTTCCTGGCCTGTCCCCGTGATCCCAGGCCCAGCCCCATTCCCCCTGTGGCCCACCTCCAGGGCTGGCCTGCTGAGAGGCGCGGCAAGCCTTTATTCATCTAACCAAATTTGACTGAGGACCTACTATGTGTAAACTCATTTCTTCCCTCCTTCATCCAACATATTTACAGATTGAGAACGCACTGGTTATCAGTGAGCTCCAGTTTCCAACTGTTCCAGGATGGGGAGCCAGAGAGAGGCGCCAAGCTTTCCAAATACACGCGCCTCTTGATCTGGTGAAGTGGGGGTGAGGAGAGAAAGGGAGGAGGACCTGAAAGGCCCCAGCCTGAGAATAAAGAGAAGCTCAGACCACACCCCGCCTCAGCACTTGTTTGCTTGTCTGTTTAAAAAAATAACAATCATTGGCTTTTTTTACACTTCATTTTAGATGGCTAATATGGCCACACGGTTATTCTCACAACCTTTTTGACTGCCCTGGATCATGTCAAGCCCGGAGGGAGGAGCCCCAGGTCTGGCTGCTGGAGAGCGGGCCGGAGAGTGAGCGAGAGCAAGGCCTCGGGGTCAGGTCCCTCCTCTACCACGTACTAGCCCCCTGCGTTCCTCTGAGCAGACGTCTGCGCCTCTCTAGGCCTCAGTGCCTGGCTCTGTGCAAAGCGGATATCGCATGTGTAAGCAAGCGAAGAACCAAGGACGCAAAGCAGTGAACATTTGCAAATGAGGAGCAACGTGGGAAAGAAGCACCAGGCTGGCCGGCAGGACGCCTTTGTGCCAACTGGGAAAAGAAGCCCTGTGTCTCACATCCTTCACTTCCCCTGCAGAGCAGTATCAGAAGGAACATACAAGCTTGTGTGCAATCCACACAACCATTAAGGCAGTCCTTTCTGAAAACATGAATGGATGAAAGGAGGGAGTGGGTGGGTGGGTGAAACGAGGAAAATGAATGAGAAGGAAGAATTTATGAATGCTAGTAGGATTCCCACCGGGGGCACTAGGAATCGGCCCTCTTGAGACTGGACCCAACCCCTTCCCTCCCGCACAGGACCCAGTACCGCAAGGTCCAATACTTGCATGCGCGGCCCCTGGTGTGTGTTCTGGAAGCAGTGCCCGGCCGAGCCCACCACCTGTGGGTAGGAGCCGGCGATGATGACGGCCGCGTGGGCCCGGTCTTCCCTTGGTCCCGCGCCCCTCCCCTCTCGGCAGGTGACGATGGCCGCTGCGTGGGCCCTGACTTCCCCTCGTCCCGCGCCCCTCCCCTCCGGGCTTGGCCGCACCTTGAGCAGCATGGAGGTCGTCAGGAGGTGATGTCCGCTAATGCCCTGCTCAAAGCAAACCCTTTTATCACTGAGCGTGACCTGGGGTGGGGGCAGACATGAAGGGTCAGCAGGCCTGCTGGAGGACCCAAGGACGGTTCAGAGAACCGCGGCCTTCCAGCAGGGCCACTGCACCCCCCGACGCCTGGCCTCACCCAGAAAAGCACCGAGTTGCGATTAACAAGGACCTTCTGCTTCACCACGGCCTCGATGCAGTCCGGGTTGGCCAGCACCACGCCCAGGCCCAGCTGGCTCTGCAGCTTGAACAAGAAGCCTGCTCGGAGCAGAGGGAGGGGGCAGGGCCTCGCGCCAGACCCGACAGAAGCCCCGCCCCTCGGAGAGTGCCCAGGTCCCAGGCCCCGCCCCCACGACTCCCAGCCCCCCCGCCACCCAGGCCCCGCCCACAGACCCTGCTCGGGCTCCGACTTGAACGAGTGCCCCCGGGCGGTGAGGAAGACGGAGAAGCGGTAGCTGGTGCCCTTGTCCAGGAAGATGCGCTCGGGCAGCTCGTGCTCGGCCTGGAGGTCGTAGATCTTTTCGTAGCTGTCCATGTCAATGTGCACGTGACCCGCGCTCTGCCAGCTGCTCGCCAGGTAGGAGAAGTAATCCTGGGGGATGGGATGCGGGGCAACGTCGGCATCCGGAGAGGGGGCGGGGAGGGGTGTCCGGGCGCCGCCCCTCCGCCGCCTCCCAGCCCTCTCCGCGCACCTGGTCCTGTTTATTGTTCTTCCACCAGCGCCAGGTGGGGTCGTGCACCGGGTCCGCGTATGGCTGCAGGGAGCGCCGGCACCGTGAGATTGGGGGGCGTCCCCAGGCAGGCGGCATTCCCAGACCCCTTCCTGGCCTCACTCCCAGCGCCTAACCCAAAGCAAAAGATGCATACCCCGGCCCGCCCCCAAGCCCCACTTTCAGCCCGGCGGCCACACCTTCAAAGCCATCTCCCCAAAGCACGGCTCGCAGCCCTCCCCCAGCCCCCACTGAGCCTCAGACTCCCAGGCAGCTCCGCTCTGTTCCACCCTCCACGGCCGTTCTTGCAGCCGCGCAGGCCCTCCAGGCCTCCTCCGTGCCGGCTCAGACAGCCCCGGCGCCCACCTTGTCGTACTTGGAGTGCAGCCAGAGCAGGTAGTAGACGAGGCCCTGGTAGACGGCGAGCGAGTTCTCGCTGTGGAAGCCCGAGGGCTCCAGGACGCGCGGGGGCCGCGCGCGGTAGCGCTCCTGGCGCGTGTAGATCTGCGGGTTGGGCAGGTCCCGCAGGCGCATCACCGTGAAGGGGCAGAGGTTGGTGAAGGACAGCGTCGGGTGGCTCCTGGCGGCGGCAGCGGGGGGCGGCGGCTGACTTTCCGCGGGCGCCCCAGGAGCCTCCGCAGGCCTGTTTCCCCCTCTGCGCGGCTGACTCCCCGGATCTAATCCGGCCCTGCCTTCCTCCCCAGTCTCAGCCCTGGCGCCCTGGACCTCATCCTGGACGCCCCCCACCCCCATGGTACTCAACCTCCTAAGCGTCCTTCCACGTCCCCCTCTCTCCCCGCCCCCATGCCTCCCTGGGCTCCTCTGCAGGTGACAGAAGGATCATTACTGAACACAGTAACACCTGACCTGCAGTCCCTCCCCTTAGGCTCCCAGGACCCTCAAGATGAAGTCCAGGTTCCTCCTATGACCCCAGGCTCACCTTGTCCGCCCTACCATCACCACTGCACTCTATCTGCACCGTTCTTTCTCTCAGTTCTTGAACACCCAGTCTCCTTCCCTCCTCAGGGCCTTTGCACATGTGGTTCCCCTGTCTGGAACACCTTTCTCCATCTTATCACCTGGCCAATTCCTCCTTACTCTTCAGGTCACAGAGGTGCTCATGCACCTTCGTCCTGGAAGCCCTCCCTGATGCGCCCTCCCCCAAGGCTGGGTCAGGCCCCTCCTTTGAGCTTCTGTAGGCCTTGGCTCCTCCATCACAGCCCTGAGGCTGTCACTGGGGATGGCTTGGTCCCCCCGGGGCGGGAGCAGTGCCTGGGGCTGTCCGACTCCTGCTGTGGTCCAGATCTTCTCACCCCTGCCGCTGCACGAGGTAGCGTTTGCTGAGTTGCTGGTACATTAGAAGCTGCTCCACAGGCACAAGCCTCTTGACGAGCTGGCCCTGCTGGTTGTTGATAAGGTACACCAGCTGCGGTGGGAAGGCGGGGCCCAGTGAGCTGCGCTCAGCCGCCTGCAGCACCCCCATCGCCCCCCAGCCCCCCGCCAGGCACCTGGTACAGTTTGTTGTCCTCGTAGAAGAGGGTGACCATGGTCTCATTGGGGGCGTGGAGAGAGGACTGGTGCATCGCCTGTAGGCTGACGTGCACCTGCCAGCCCTCGGACGGGAACAGCTTGTACACCCGGTAGCCGCCGTCCAGGAGGTACCAGATCTGGGCGGGCGACAGCCAGGGGTGTGTGTGAGGGCCATGAGGACCTCTGACCCCACCTCTCCCTCTCCAGCTGGAACCAGGTGAGCTCCCGTACCTTCTCTCCCTACTTCCCAGACCCCAGCCCTCTGTGTCCAGCCCTCACTCACCATGATGCATTTCTTCCATGTTTCGGTCTGCTTGAGTTTTTTGTTTTGTTTTGTTTTGTTTGTGAGGAAGATCAGCCCTGAGCTAACATCCATGCTAATCCTCCTCTTTTTGCTGAGGAAGACCAGCTCTGAGCTAACATCTATTGCCAATCCTCCTCCTTTTTTTCCCCAAAGCCCCAGTAGATAGTTGTATGTCACAGTTGCACATCCTTCTAGTTGCTGTATGTGGGACACGGCCTCAGCATGGCCGGAGAAGCGGTGCATCGGTGCGCGCCCGGGATCCGAACCCCGGGCCGCCAGTAGCAGAGCGCGTGCACTTACCCACTAAGCCACGGGGCCGGCCCCTGCTTGAGTTTCTATTACTTGTGACTTAAGCATTCCTAATCTCGACCCCCCGAAAGGCCGTGGTTCCTAGGGCTGAGCCCTCTTGTTTCTTCTCATTCTCTGCACCCTCCAGGGTTTCACCATCCCCTCGGCCTCAGTTTCCCATCTCTGCACTGATGCCCATTCCCCCCCAGCCCCCCAACGCATTTGACTCTAGACCTTGCCTCCTCCTCGGCCTCAGCCTGTAGGACGTCCGCCCTCCGTGTGGCCTCCTCCGTGAAGCCCCCCCTGAAGCACACATGCCCAGCCTGGGTCAGGCCCTCCTCTGAACTTCCGTAGATGCTATTCTCCCCACTGTGGCCCTGATTACTCTGAACTGTCACTGTCTGGGAATGAGTCTGTCTTCCCAATGGACTGTGGCCCTGTGAGGGCAGGGCCCAGGGCTGCCTCGGTCGCCAGTGTCCCCAGCACTGCGTCAGGCATACAGTAAGTGCCCAATATTTATGAAATGAGCAACCGCAGGGAGAGAAGGGAGACGCTTGGGGTTGGGGGGTGGGCAGAGAGGAAGTGGGGAGAGGGGCAGGGCAGCCCACCTCCTCGGTTTCTGTGACAACAGCCACATCGCCACGGAACGAGCTGACCAGGTACTTGATGGACAGCTCCTTGGGGAAGTCCGCCAAGTAGATGAAGTTTTCTTTGTCATAGCTGCAGGGGCAGAGAGGGGAGCTGGGAGTGCCCAGGCCAGGCCCCAGAGCGTATCTGATCCCCCCCAGCTCCAGGCCTCACATGACGCAGGAACCGTGTGCTCAGGTCTTCACTAGCCTTGTGAGAACGTGCAAAGGAGGCCTGCAATTCTAGCCTCTGCCCCCCCGAAACCCTGGGCGACCTGCCAATCTGTAAGCAGGAGCATTCAGCTCACCTGGTAGTTTGCCAACCGCCCACGTTGTTGGCTCAGGGCCCCTAGGCTCCTAAGGGATGAAGCATCCTAACCTTTCCGCAGAGAGTGCCCTGCTGTTGCTCACATAGGTTGGGTCCCCACATCCAGGCTCCCACAGCTTTAAAACATCAGCTTCCCCCACCCTGGTCCTCACCATCCCAGCCGCGCTTCCCCGTCACAGTCCTGATAACTTCTGGGCCTGGGCATCCTCTAAAACCTCGGTGACTTCAGCCCTCACCCTAATGGGGCTGGGGAGGCAGAATATTGCCCGCCCTGTACCTCTGCAGGAGGAAGTTGCCCCAGATGAACAGCAGCTTGTTATATGGGTTGTAGACCATGCCCTTGGGGACCATCGGGAAGTTGGTGTAAGACTCCGTCCCTAGGATCATCAGGAACTCCAGGCCTCCAGCTGACCGGGCCAGAGGCAGAGTGGACACAGCAGTGAGGTGGGGTCGCTGGGCCCTTCCTCAACCCCACCCACCTTTGAGCCCCCTCTGTCTTCCCCTCCTACCATCAGGGATGAATTCCGGGATGGTGTAGAGGATGGCCAGGTAATCACTGACTACAGGTGGGGAGAAGACAGCAAAATCTCCTGAGGCCCTGAGCTTTCAAACCTGAAACTGGGCGAGTCCTCAGCTTTCCAACCCCTCCAAAAAAACCCTCCAATGGCTTCCCATTGGGGCCTGTTACCCCTGAGAGTTTCTTTATGTGAATTATAACAAGGCACTGCCTCTGAGAGGATACAGTTTCGTTAGGGCACAGGACTTGCCTCCTCTGATTCCTTGGCTGGGGAGTGCAGTGCACAGCCTATACAACTGTACATGGCAGCCCTGTTCTCAGTTCAGGTAAAATCAAATTAAATTTCCCTATTGTGAGCCACAAAGCCCTTCCTGATCTGGCTTCTGCTCACCTCTCCAATCTCCCTCCCTCTATTCTCCCCCTCTGTTCCAGTCACATTATCTTCCTCTCAGTTTCACCAGCCCACCCACCCAGGAGGGACATGAGCAACATTTCCCTCCAGCTCTATGCTGGGCACAGACCCCACAGGATGCGCGCGCAGTTCACGATCTGGGCTCCGCCCCTTGGCACTCAGCCCCCCGGTGGTGCCCCAATTACCCAGGTCGTAGCGGACCACCTGGAAATACTTCCGGATGGCAGGCTCTTCGATCTCCACCAGCAGCAGCAGACTGGAGTCGTCCGCAGTGTATGTGGCCCAGGTTATGGAGCAGTTGACAACTGGACGAGAAGGAGGCGGTCCGGAGACGCCCCTGGACCGCCCCTCTCCACGGTCTCTGTGACTGCATCCTTTCCCGTCACCTCTCCCACCCTGCCCTGCTCTCCCACACCCTGGATACCCCACCCGGCCGCCGCAGACCCCTCTGGGAGATGGGTACCTTGTATCCCTTCGCACACGGACTGCTGCCTGGGCAGCATCTCGAAGGACACGCGGCCATCTGCGGAGCAGGGCAGGCGCACGCTCAGGCCCCGCCCAGCCCAACTGGCACCCCCCGAACCAGCTCTCCGGCTGTTGGGGGGCAGAATGCTGGCGCCTCCCTGACCCTTAGTCCTTCGGACTCCAGGGAGCAGGTCTCACCCCCCCGCCTGTCAGTCACTCACACCTGGCCTATCAGAGCCTGTCTCTGCTCAAGTCTGGGCATGTGACCCAGAATGGGCCAATCAGAGTTCACCCAGGTATTTGTGATACAGCTGAGGGAGAAGAGGCGGCTCTCATTCTCTTGGGGTGACTCAAACTGGTGGGAGATGCGACCCTGATCTCCGGGGGGCCATCTTTAACCCCCATGAGAGGAGTATCTACCTGAAAATGAAGCCAAGTCATGGGGCTCATGATAATAAACCAGTTATAGCACCCGCCATGTCCCTAGCACTGTCCTAAGACTTTCCCATATGCCAACTTACTTAATCTTCCTATCAACCCCATGAAGCAGGTACTACTACTCCATTAGCCCTATTTTGCAGATGAGGAAATGAGGCCAAAAAGAGAAGTTAAGTGACCTGTCCAAAGCCACAGGTAACTTAGGTTGGGTGTGTTGGAGCAGTCTGTCTCCAGACCTGTGCTATAATCACTATGCTATACTACCTTGCCAAGAGATAGACAGAGTCCTGATGATATACCCAGTGAGCGCCTGGATCCAGCCATGCCTGAAGTTGGCCTCTGGTCTTTTCAACTATGTAAGTCTACAAATTCTTCATGCCTAAATGATTTTTGAATTGGGTTTCTGCCCTTTGAAACCAAACACATCATGAAAGATACATAATACACCCCAGGTCCTACCCCTACAAGTGCATAAACCCATCCCCACTCACATGACAACCTCCAGCCTGGGACCCCTCCTTAAGGAACACGGTGAGGGGTGAGGGCCTGAGGTCAGAATTCTTAGAGGTGAGAGTGTATGAAGGGGTCTCTTGGGCTGCCAGAGGCCCCCACTCTTACCTGTGATGGTCCCAAAGTGGACATAACCTTCATGCTTGCCAGTGGTGAGGGCCATGATGTACTCGGAGCCGTTGCTATGGAAATGCACAGGGCACAGTTTCTTGATGCACTCAGTGGCCAGGACACGAACCCAGCTCCCTGCAGGGGCCAGCATGAAGCCTCAGGTCCAAGCAGGACCTGGGACCTGAGCCCCTAGTCCACATTTCCCTGGCCTTAATGTGCCTGTTCCTTCTCCTCTCCTGCTGGAGCGGCTGTTCGGTGTGGCGTCTGAGGGACCCTTGGCAAAGGGCCCCAGCTGCCTTTGAGAAAAGCCCCCTTGCTCTATCCATGAGGTTCAGATTGGGCTGACCCCACCCTTGCATTCCCCTGGCCAGAGCGATTGGTTCTGAGCTGGGCATGTGACCAAGCTGGGCAAATCAGAGACAGTCCCAGCCTGCAACCACTAACAAAGAGATGCTCTTGGGCCAGCCCCATGGCTTAGCGGTTAAGTGCGCGCGCTCCGCTACTGGCAGCCCGGGTTCAGATCCCGGGCGCGCACCGACGCACCGCTTCTCTGGCCATGCTGAGGCCACGTCCCACATACAGCAACTAGAAGGACGTGCAACTATGACAGACAACTATCTACTGGGGCTTTGGGGGAAAAAAAGGAGGAGGATTGGCAATAGATGTTAGCTCAGAGCTGGTCTTCCTCAGCAAAAAGAGGAGGATTAGCATGGATGTTAGCTCAGGGCTGATCTTCCTCAAAAAAAAAAAAAAAAGAGATGCTCTTCTCTACGGCCCCTGAGGGCACAGAAGTCTGCAGTTGCTGGTGGAAGGGGAGGCACCATGGCCACCACAAGGAGGGGCCTGTCTAACAGCTACAGTGAGCCCCTAGATCCAACTATGCCTGAAACCAACTTGCTCCTGCATTGTTCAGCTATTTAAGCCAATAAATACCCCCTTTCTTTGGCTTAAACCCATTTTAATTTGGTTCTCTCACTGTCAAAGTGCCCTAAGTAAGAAAGGGAGCAAAATGGGGCTGTTGAGAGCATGCACTAACTAATGAAATATAGGTTACAGTACAAGTTTCTGTGCCACTATAAGTGCTCCTATAAGCTGTCTAAGTGGCATTTCATCTAGATGGGGGGGAAAACTAGAAGAACTTAGAGGGCTTTGGTATCATTTAAAAGATGAGGCTGGGGCCCGGCCCGGTGGTGCAAGCGGTTGGGTGCGTGCGCTCCGCTGCAGCGGCCTGGGGTTCACCAGTTCGGATCCCGGGTGCGCACTGACACACTGCTTGTCAGGCCATGCTGTGGCGGTGTCCCATATAAAGTGGAGGAAGATGGGCACAGATGTTAGCCCAGGGCCAGTCTTCCTCAGCAAAAAAAGAGGATTGGCAGATGTTAGCTCAGGGCCGATCTTCCTCACAAAAAAAAATAAATAAATAATAAATAAATAAAACATGAGGCTGAGTCAGAAGTCTCTCTTCTTCCTCTCTGATCAATCTCCCTCACGGCTTTGCCTCCCCAATGGCCCGTCTCTATTTCTCTCTCATTGACTCTCTATGCCTCTCCCCACCCCCTGGATTTCTCTCTTGTTGTGCATCTCTCTTGGTACGCCTGTCTCTGTCTTTCTGACACTCTCTGTGCCGCGTGCGTGTGTCTGTGTCTCTTTCTGCCCCCTCCCTTCCCTCTCACACCTCCCTGTTCCTTCAGCTGGTTCTCAATAGCTGGGAGGGCCTGGGAGGAAGCCTGGCCCCGCTATAGAGGGGAGGAGGCCCACGCAGCGGGGGCAGCGATGATTCAGGACCTTGGGAAGTTCCTCCCCCCCACCACCACGGCAATTCCAGTCCCAGGTGCCTCCAGCGGATGGGCTCTCTGGGGCGCCCCCCTGCCTGAGGTGCCACGGCCCCTCACCACTGCCATGGTTGCTCTCGTGGAGTGTGACATAGGTGCCCGTGAAATAGTAGACAAGCTGGTTCTGCCGGATGAAGAGGGTGCTCTCGGTGGCGATGGCGTCGTAGATGGTGGCAGTGAAGCCGGCCTGGGGGCAGTAGAAGGAGCCTACCCAGCAACTGTCAATGCTCAACTGCAGGGGGCAGAGCCAGCAGTGAGCAGCTGGCCTTGGCCTCAGCCCCCACGTCCTGCCTTGGCGGGAGGTGCCTGCTCTGACAACTGCTTGGGATGGACACAGGCAGCTGGCCCCAGGGTGCCCTCCCTGCTAACCCTGCAGCAGCACCTTGCTGGCCAAACTTCCCCAACATGGGCCAGGGAAGCAGGCACCCCTGGCTGGAGCCAGCTGGGGCTTTGTGTGCTCCTAGAGTGGGGCAGTGCGCAGCATACTCAACAGTGACAGCAGTCCCGGCTCCCCAGACCACAGTCAGGGTTGTACCCACGTGGATCCAAAAGATTCCACGCTTGGCCCAAGGCACATTTTTAATAATCTTATTCTACCTAGAACACATGTGGCTGTCAGGCTGACACTATCTGAACTCACTGACTGATCGCTAACACTGCCAATTCCGCTAACAGTGGGAAAGCACCACCAAGGATGGGTTATTGCCTAAAAGATTGACGAAATTTAATCAAGCTTCTAGCGCTCACTACCAGTTTATAGTCAATATGGGGTGTTATGACCGAATTGTGCCCCCTCAATTTATATGTTGAAGCCCTAACTCCTGTGGAAATTAATAAAAGAAACCTTAACTAAACTGGAGTCGGGAAGGCCTGTATGGGGAGCTCTCATGCTCCCCACACGTCGTCCATTACACCAAACAGGAAGAGACACACACCTGCATTTTCCACAGGAAGTGAAACTACTTTACTAGTTAAGGAAGGAAGATTTTCTCCCCACCCAGCAACAGCCCAGCCAATGAGAAATGCCACAGCTCAGCCAATGAGAAATGCCACAGCTCAGCCAATGAGAAGCTGTGGCCACCCTGAACTGTTATTCTCCCCCAATGGACTTTCATTTAGAACAGCCCACATATTCCCCCTTTTTTTCTACAAAAGCAGCTCCGCTCCTTTCTTTTCCAGATTTGCCTATGGTTTGCCATAGCATGGGCATCCCAAATTGCAATTCTTTTGGCTATTCCCGAATACACTTGTTTTGAGATAAAATAATAGGTGAATTTGCTTTTTAAGTTTACTCCACAATGTGACTGTGTTTGGCAATAGGGCCTTTAAGGAGATAATTAAGGTCCAATGAGGTCATAAGGGTGGGGCCCTAATCCTATGGAACTGATGTCCTTAGAAGAAGAGGAAGAGACGCCAGAGAGCTCTCCCTCCACTTGTGTGCACAGAGAAGAGGTCACATGAGGACACAGCGAGAAGGCACTTTCTGCAAGCCGAGGAGAGAGGCCTCACCAGAAACCAACCCTGCTGACACCTTGATGGTGGACTTCCAGCCGCCAGAACTGTGAGAATATAAATTTCTGTTGTTTAAGCCACTCAGTCTGGTATTTTGTTATGGCAGCCTGCACAGACTAATACATAGGGTCAGAGGAACAAGTTAATCAATTCCACGAAGAGGCAAGCAGCCAAATTCTATAGGACAAAAGGCCTGGTTTCTTAAATTGCCTGAAAAAAGGCGGTTGCTGGGGGCAGGGAGCAGACTTACAGGTGAGAAGAATATTAAAAGACTTAACAACCAAATGCAACGTGTTGATCCTGATTCAAACAAAGCAATTTAAAAAGACGTCTTTAGAAAACTGGGGAAAATTGACTATGGCTGGGTTAGATGACACTAAGGGGTTATTGCTAATTTTTCTGGGTATTATAATCGCATTGTGGTTTTATTTTTTAAAAGTCCTCATGTGTTGAAGATACTTCCTCAAGTATTTCAAGAATTTACAGGTGAAATGGTATGACGGCTGGGATCTTCTTTAAAACACTCCAGGGGGGGCCAGCCCGGCGGCAAAAGCAGTTGGGTGCACGTGCTCTGCTTCGGTGGCCCGGGGTTCACCGGTTCGGATCCCAGGTGTGCATCAGCACACCGCTTGGCAAGCCATGCTGTGGCGGCGTCCCATATAAAGTGGAGGAAGATGGGCATGGATGTTAGCCCAGGGCCAGTCTTCCTCAGCAAAAAGAGGAGGATTGGCAGATGTTAGCACAGGGCTGATCTCCTCACAAAAACAAAAATACAATAAAACACTCCAGGAAAAAAAAAATGATGGGACAAAAAAAATAAGAAAAATGTTGATAATTATTGAAGCTGGGTTCAATATACTATTCTCTCTACTTCTGTGTCTAATTGAAATTTTCCACTAAAAAGTGGACTTTTCCACTAACTCTTCCAATAAAAAGTATAAGTCAAAACAAAACTCTAGGCTCTGCTGCTGAGGGAAATTTCATCAAGTAAGGAGAACCGAACATTCTCACTTCTCCTACCCTATTCAGCATCAAAAGAGTGTCCTTGAAAATGTTATTTCTTAAAAAGTCTTGTAATCCAGACTACAGAGGTTATTGCTATGCCTGGTGAAACTAACCTGCACCCTCTAAGTCTGTCATTTTGATTAGTGGTCATACTTAACATATTGCTCTGTTAATATTTGAAGTGAAGCCTCTGTTTTCTGGAAGAAATACTTGGAAATTTTCTTTGTTAAGCTAGAAGAGGATTACCACATCTCCTCCCTTCTCCCACATATGTGAGGAAAAGAAAAGCTGTGAGTCAGCTGGATTTCTTATTTGAGCAAGGTTTGAGAATTCTGATGCATTTAACTCAGTAAGCAGCATGGTGGGTTATCCTGGCCATGATGATTGAGTCCAGGTGGGCAAACGGCCTGAGCTATACCAAGTGGAAGGAATCTTGTGATTTGGTAGTTAGGGGGTAACGGCAAAGATCTTTCCCACTGGATGTGGGCCTCTGCCGTTCCAGGGTACAGAGCTGTTCTGACCATAAAGTCCATACAGAGGAACCTGGTCCAAGAGATGAAGAGAAAGAAACTCAGGCTTGGTGACATTGTTTGGAATCCTGGGTCAAGCTGGACCTGAAGTCCTGAATTTTTTTGGTTACATGAACCAACAAATTTCCTCTTCCACTTTTGGCAGATGGCTAGTTGAGCTCCCAAATCCATTTCCCCCATATTCTTTGGTAATTGAGTTTTAGAAGGGCATGTGCCACCCAGGCAGAAATTATATTTCCCAGCCTCCCTTGCATTTGGATGTAGCCAAGTGACTAATACTTACTTCACTAATGGAATGTGAGTGGCAGTGGAACTTGCTGAAAAGAAAATAGCTTGCCCTCCATGTCTGCTCTTCGTCCTTCCCATTGGCTGGAATGTGGACACGGGCCTGACCCAGCTCCGATCCTACAGGTGGATCAATACCCGGGGTCTAGGGGGTGATGAATCGGGAAAATGGAAGAGACCCGGGGTTCTCACTTCTGGGCTGTGATGAGAATGAGCAACAGCATCTATTTAAGCTATTCCCTTTCAGGGGTCTCCGTTACAGCATCTAAACCTGAGCCATGCAGGGCTGCGGAGAGCCGCGCACAGGGAGGATTGCTAAGGAATCCTAGAGGCAGTCTGGGGGGGGAGTGGTGAACTGAAACAGGAGGGAGGAAAAGAGAGAGGAGACAGCAATGTGGAGAAATGCTGGTGATTAAAGAATGAGAAGAAATGGGCTTTTATTTGGGAGTGATGGGAATTTTTTGGAACTAGATAAAGGTGGTGGTTGCACATGTGAGTATATAATAGTAAATGGCACTTAATTATTCACTTCAAAATGGCTAATTTATGAATTGTATGATTTTCACCTTGATAAAATTTTTTTTAAAAAAGGGACAAGAATAAGGATGCCTGAAGTTCACATGGGACTTGTCATTCCTGTGACATAAACTCCTCCACTGCCCTCCAGATCTCTTTAGCAGAATCCACATCAGCCACGTACTCCCTGTGGGTGTGTTTGGGTCAGGAGTTTGTGAAAATTGAGTGATGTCTGGAAAGACTTGGCCCAGAACAGAGAGATCTGACACAGGACAGGGAGATGGTCCATAAACTGAACAAATTCAGTGGAAGCAGGAATTCAGAGCCAGAGGGAACCAGCAGAACGTTAATCCATACGGGGTTCTCAGAAATCATGGGCGGGGGACTGTCAACACGGATGGGAGGAGGCTAAGGGAATTTCCTGGGGTTGCCGTGGTGCATAATTGTTATCTCGGACACAGTTAACAACCAGCATCTCCTCCCCACAACTTGGGGCAAAGCTACTGATTTCACTCTGGGGGACCATCCTTTCTCTGCTTCTCGTCTCACCTGCCGTGCTCACAGGACAGAGCTCATGAACTGTGCTAAGCCAGCTGGCACATTCCATTATTTGGGGACACATGACTCAAGCTGGACCAATCAGGACCAAGGAAATAAATGTCAGATTTTTTTTTACAGCTATTTGGGGAACAGATGTTCCCCTCCTCCAGCCTGGGAGTTGGGATGATATGAGCCACTTTGAGGACGGGGCTAATCCAGAGGAAGAGGAGCTGAGAGCTGGCGTCTTCATTTGAGCCCTGAATCAAGCCAGGCCTGAAGCCTGATCTGTGCCTGGGCTTTGCCGTTAGGTGCACCTACGAAACCCATTTCTCTGCTTAAACCAAACTGAGTTGGATGGATTTCTGCCGACAGCTGCACCAGCTCAAACGTGTTTCGGTCATTCACACCAAAAGAACCTTCTTCAGACACTCCTTCCCCGTTTTGAGAATAAAATAGGCTCACGAGGCTGAATTTGGAGCCAGATGTATATCGCAATTCAAAATTTCCAGCGTTTAGCAGGTAATATGGCACATAAGCCATCCATATGTAAACCCTAAGCAGCACCCCATCATCAGACCCCTTAATATTTCTGCGGGGCAGCATCTGAATATGAAATGCAGAATATCTAAGTGGGATGCAGAAGCACTATAAATAGCCTGCGTTAGCCCGGGTCGGGGTTTCTCGACAAATGAGTTTTAGCCCCAAATTTGTGAAAACACAGTTTTCAAAACTTTTTGGATTTCAGAATTACAAATCGTGCACTTTAGTAATAATAGCTTTGACGCACACAGTATAGTACTTATTAACTTATATCATCCTCACAATGATTCTGCGAGGTAAATATAAATATTACCACTTGACAGATGGGGAATCTGAGGCCTGGGTAGGTGAAGTGACTTGCCCCAGGTCCAGGATTTGAACCTAGGCTATCTAGCTGCAGAGTCTTACGTCTTTCCTTCGTGCTCTCTGCCCCTTACGGCACTGGTATGTCTTGGGGGACCCCTTCCATAGCCCCAGGCCCCACCCCGTTTTAAGAGCCGAGGCCCAGACCCTTCAAGAGGCCCCAAGCCACTCTCTGTCCTGCACCCCTCACCTCCACGAGAAAGAAGTCCTTGAAGCTGGTGTCACTCAGCAGGATGGACTTCTCCCCCGGAATGCCGCCCAGGATGAGCACAGGCGCCTGGTCCACGGTGTACCACAGGGGCCTCGACGGGGCGTTCACGAAGTACCGGGGGACGAGATCCAAGAGCTGCGGGGGAGGGGCAGGAAGGCTGCTCGACACTCCCCCTCCCCTGCCATGGCCCCGCCATCTCATTTAGGGTAACAGCCAAAGGCCTCACCCTGACACAATTTGTCCCTGTCACCTCTCTGACCACTCCCGCCTTGCTCCCTCTCTCCCAGCCACAGGGGCCCCCTCACTGCTGCGCGGACTCACCAGGTACATTCCCACCTCAGAGGCTTTGCACTGGCTGTTCCCTCTGTATGAAACGCTCTTCCCCTCGTATCCACACGATTCCCTCCTCTCCTCTTTCAAGGCTTTACTCCAATGTCAACCTTCTCAATTATGCCTTTCTTGATCCTTCCATTAAACACTTCAATCCCCTCCTGCACAGATCCAGTTCCCCTCACTCTGAACTCTCCAGAGCACATACCACCTTTTAACCCACTGTGGAATTTACTCGATTTCCCGTTTACTGGTGTAGCGTCTGTCTCTCCCACTAGAATGTCAGTCCTGAGAGGGCAGGGATGTGGGTCTGTGTGTTCACTGTCGTGTTCCCATGGTGCCACACTGTGTGCTCAGGAAGTGCCTGCTGAATGAATGAATGAGTGAATGAATGCACAGTGATGAAGACTATGGTGCGGGAGTCAGGCAGACAGTTTCAAGTCCGGTTCCACATGTGCATGCTGAGACTGTGGGCAAATGGCTCCCTCCCTTCGGGGCCTCGGCTTTCTCCTCTTTAGAATGGGCCCATGAGAGTGCCTTCGCTCACAGGGTCACTGGGAGCACTTCCCTTCACCCGGGGCCTGACACGACGTAAGCGCTCTGCTAATGGGGTCTGCCGCTTGCTTGGGAAGTACTCGGGGCCCCGGCCCACAGTCTTTCACCCCGTCTTCTGCCTCGCCCGCTGTCCGGCCCCTCACCTCATTCCCCATGGTGAACTGGGGTACGTTGCCTCGCTGCCTCTGCAGGAAGCCGTTGATGTTCACCTGAAACCTGGGGCAGGTGTGGGGCAGGCACAGGTGAGGGTTCCAGTTTCAGGGGCTCCCGCCACAGCTCACAGCCACCTCCCCGCCCCATTCCCTCCCTCTGGTCTCCTCCTGGCTTCTCTGGGGACCTGGGGATTAGGAAGTCCCTCCCAGAGTCTACACCTGCCCCCCTCCCCGGGGCTTGGGAAAGGGCACCTTTTATCGGGAATGAAGGGCCCCAGGCCATTGCTGCTGACGTCCACGTGCATGACCACGCTGCCGTTCTTGATGGGCATGGGCGTGTACCAGCTCATGACACACACCTCTGCGCTGCACGGCTCTGCGGGTGGCCAGTGGGCACGGAGGCTGCGGGGCCTCCCAGCGCCCCTTCAGGCCACAGACCACTGGCATCTCCCCGCAACTCCCCATGCGCCCCTCTAGGCCACAGACCACACTGGAGCCTTTGTGTGGCCCCATCTAGGCTGTGGAACCTGCTGAGGCCCCCCCGTGCCCTCCTCCAGCTCACAGACCCCAGTGAGGCCCCCAAGAACCCCCACCCCCCTCCAGGCCATGAGCCCCTCTGCTGACCCCAGCCTCCCCTACAGGTCATGGACCCTGCTGAGGCCCCCAGCACCGCCCCACGCCCCTGCCAGGCTGTGGCCCCTGCAGGTGTCCCCCAGGCCCACCTGTGCTGCGGAAGGGGGCCGCCTCCATCTGGATCTGCAGCTGCTCTATCTTCCAGTGACGGAAGTTGACTGGGGACTGGAAGGTGACCAGTACCACGGGCTTCAGCCCCGTCAGGTGGCCCTTGCGGACCAGGGCCTCGGAGGACTGAGGGCAAGATGGCCCCACAGGTGTGTCCTTAAGATGGCCTCTGGGTCCCCTGTGACTTGACCCCACCTTTAGTGGCCTGTCTTCCTGGGCTGGGTGGGGAGAACAGACTCCACCATGGGAAGGGCAGAGAACGTGGTCTAGGTTTGGGGCTGGGATCGGGGGTGGACCAGGCTAGGAGAGGGGCAGAGGGGCTAGGGGCTGTGGAGGGAGTCAGGAGGCCTTCCTGGAGGAGGTGAGACCAGAGCCAGAGTCTTCAGACAGAATTTGGATGCAGGGAATGCACAGGGAAGTGCGGCACAAGGTAAGCAAAATGTGAGGTGGGAAGGAATCTGGACCCAGAACTGCTACAGTCACAACACTTCCCTCCCTGCAGCCATTCCCAGGCCCACCCCCGCCCCCAGACTCTCTGCCACCCCCACCGGTCAGAGGACAGCCAGGTTTGGGCTGGGGCCTGGGGGTGAGGGTGGGATGGGGCAGTTAGACAGAAAGGAACCGGGGAACCTTGGCCAGGGCCCGTCAGATCCTGGCTGGGCTGAGAAGGGCAGGCAGGGCTTAGAGTGGAGACGGAAGGAGGGAAGGAGAAGGGTGTTCCAGGTGCATGGAACAGCATAAGCAAAGGTTTGGAGGCATCCCCAAGAGAAGGCTGCACTCAAGCCACTGTGGGTGGGGTGTGGGGTAGGGGTAGGGGTGGGCTGTGAGACCGGGGCGAGAGATTTCACGAGTCTGACAACCTCTGCACAGGCTTCACCCTGAGGAACGCCTTGGCCAGGGCCCGTCCGATCCTGCCAACTACACCTGGCCCCCTGCCTCTGGGTTTCCAATCACAGGGTAGCAGGTGATGGTGGGGCGGGACCTCCTCCCTGTCAGGGCAACAGGGGCCACGACCACCCTGTCCTGTCCAACCTCAACTCCTGCCCATACCATGGACCAGCCTCCTCACTGTCTTCCTGCTCCCCACACGGCAGGAGGGAGCCTGTGAACACGAGTCAGATCACCTCCCTCCTCTGCTCAGAACCTTCTCAGGAATCCATCTCACTCAGGGTGAAGCCAGGTCCTCACTACAGTCCATGAGGCCCTAAAACTCTGCCCCATCACCTCCCTGACCTGTCTCCTGCCATGGCCCCCTCGCTCGCTCTGCTTCAGCCACACAGGCCTCTTCCCTATATCAGGGCCGCGGCGCTGGCTGTTCCCTCGGCCTGGACTGCTTTCCCAGTTCTCCTCATGGTCGTCCCTTTGCATCATTCAGGTCTCCGCTCAAGCCCTGTCGGAGAGACCTTCCCCACCCACCTCCGCTAACACCCTCCTTTCTAACATAGCACCTTGTTTTATTTTCCTCGTCGCACAGATTACTCTCATAAATGATTTTATGTCTTCACTTGCTGCTTGTCTGCGTCCCTGGCGGGCTGAATCCACAAGAGAAATCTGGCCTGTTGTTTATCATTGTATTCCCTCCCTCATTGTAAAAAAAGGATCTGACTCATAGCGGGTGTTGAATGAACAGATAAAGGTATTATTATTGAACTTTTACAGATAAGGAGAGAAGGTTCATGGAGTAAAACTCTCTGCCCAGGGACACATTCTAGAAACTTGTTGCTAGCAAGCACTGAGCCCTTTGAACCAAGCCCTGTGCTAAGTACTTCACACATATTTAATCATTTTATGAAGTGGATATGATCCTGATCGTACCCTTGCTAAGTATGAGGAAACTTTGGTACAGAGAAGTTAAGTAACTTGCCTGAGATCACACAGCTGTAGGAGCAGAACTGGGATTTGAACCCAGGCAGTTTGGCTCCAGAGCCCAAAGTATTAACTATCATGCTATACTTCCTCCAAATCAATGTTAGTCAGTGGCAGATTCAAACTCAGATCTGCAGCCTCCAGAACTTTAGTTCTAGACTATAACATTCTACTGTCCTCAAAAAACTTACTCGAGCCAAAACAATCTTGAAAAAGAACAAAGTTGGAGGACTCACACTTCCCAATTTGGAAACTTACTACAAAGCTATAGTAATCAGGACCGCGTTTACTGGCATATAGATAGACATATAGAGCAATGGAATAAAATTATACCCAGAAATAAACCCTTACATTTATGGTCTATTGATTTTTTTTTAAATAATTTTATTTATTTATTTTTCCCCCAAGCCCCTGTAGATAGTTGTATGTCATAGTTGCACATCCTTCTAGTTGCTGTATGTGGGACGTGGCCTCAGCATGGCCAGAGAAGGGGTGCGTCGGTGTGTGCCCGGGATCCGAACCCGGGCCGCCAGCAGCGGAGCGCGCGCACTTAACTGCTAAGCCACGGGGCCGGCCCTGGTATATTGATTTTTGACAAGAGTGCCAAGACAATTCAATGAAGAAAGAATAATGTTTTCAACAAATGGTACTGGGATAACTGGATATTCACATGCAAAAGTGGGACCCCTACCTCACACTATATACAAAAATTACCTCAGTATGGACCAAAGGCCAAATGTAAGAGCTAGAACTAAAAAACTCTTCAAAAAAACATGGGAGTAAATCTTCATGACCTCTAGTTGGGCAAAACCTTCTAAGACAACACAAAAAGCACAAGCAACAAAAGAAAAAATTGATAAATTGGATTTCATCAAAATTAAAAACTTTGGTGGTGTTTTATGGTATGTGAATTATATCTCAATAAACATAAAACTTTTGTGCTTCAAAGGATGCCATCAAGAAAATGAAAAGACAACCCACAGAATGGGAGAAAATATTTACAAATCATATATCTGATAAGGAACTAGTATCCAGAATATATAAAGAAATTTTACAGTGCAACAATAAAAAGACAACCCAGTTTTTAAATGGGCAAAGGATATGAATAGACATTTCTCCAAAGAAGATAGATACATGGCCAATGAGCATATGAAAAGATGTTCAACATCATAGTTATGATGGAAACGCAAATCAAAAGCACAATGAGATACCATGTCACACACACTAGGAGGGCTATAATCAAAGAGATGGACAGGAACAAGTGCTGGTGAGGATGTAGAGAAACTGGAACCCTCCTACGCTGCTGATAGGAATGAAAATGGTGCAGCTGCTTTGGAAAACAGTCTGGCAGTTCCTCAGATGTGAAACAGAGTTAAGATATGACCCAGTCATTCCATTCCTAAGTATATACAGAAGACAACTGAAAACATATGTTTACGCAAAAACTTGTACATGTTCATAGCAGCATTATTCATACTAGCCAAAAAAAAAAAGTAGAAATAACCCAAATGTCCACCAAGTGATGAATGGATAAACAAAATGTAGCACATCCAAACAATTTAATATTATTCAGCCATAAGAAGGAAATACTGATACAAGCTACAACATGGGTGAGCCTTGAAAACGTGCTAAGTGAAAGAAGCTAGACATAAAGGATCACACATATGATTCCATTTATATGAAATGTCCAGAATAAGCAAATTCATAGGGACAGAAAGTAGATTAGTGGTCTCCAAAGGCTGGAGGGATGGGGGTACAGTCTCTTTTTGGGGTGATGAAAACGTCCCGGAATTAGATAGTGGTGAGGGTTGCACAACTTTGTGAATATACTAAAAACTATTGAATTGTACACTTTAAATGGTGAACTTTATGGTATGTGAATTATGTCTCAATTTTTTTTTAGTGGCAAAAAAAAAGCTTCCTTGAGCATCTTCTATATACCTGGTGGGATACAGGGAATCTTCTTGAATCCTTAAGGTCCCCAGGGTCTGGTGGTACCACCACTATTAAAACGTTAGAGATGGGGAAACTGAGGCCAGCACAGAATGAGCTCCGCTGCACCCACTCACCTCTCCCTTGCAGGAGTAGTTTATCTTCAGGTAGTAAGGGAAGCCCAGGTACTTCTGTAAGGAGAGGTTGGGCAAACGTCCAGAGCCCAGTAGGTTGCGGGTCCACACCTCTCCTGTCCCCCTGACCCCAGTCCCCTCACCTCGTCCGGGTCGATGGGCGCGTCCACCAGCAGGCTGAACACGCTGCCCACTGTGTCCAGGGGCTCTTGGTCGAAGAAGCGGTCGCTCTCGCGGTTCTTGCCTACCGTCGCGAACTGGTTCAGGACAACCTGCCAGGTGCACTCCTGGATATCCTCGATCGCCCACAGCCTCCACGGTGCCCACGGCACCGCCAGCAGTGCCCACAGCGCCCGCAGGACTCGGAGTCTCGGCCACGCAGGCCCAGGAAGGGACATCGCGGGGCAGCGCGCAACGTCGCTCCAACCTGGAGAATGCCGGGGTCAACAGCCGCCGGCAAGACTGCGCGGGCGTGCGGTCTTCTGAGATCCCGCCACGCTCCTGCGCCGCGCCCCGTCCCTGCTCCTGGCCCCGCCCCTGCTCTTGCTCCGGGCCCCGCCCCCGCCCCTGGCCCCGCCCCTGCTCTTGCTCCGGGCCCCGCCCCCGCCCCTGGCCCCGCCCCTGCTCTTGCTCCGGGCCCCTCCCCTGCTCTTGCTCCGGGCCCCGCCCCCGCCCCTGCTCCTGGCCCCGCCCCTGCTCTTGCTCGTGGCTCCATCCCAGCTTTTGCTCCTGGCTCCGCCTCTGCTCCAGACTTCGCCCCTGCCCCATCCCCTGCATCTGCTCCCACTCCGGATCCCACCTCTGTTACTCCAGGTCCCGCCCCTACTGTTGCTCCTGGCCACTCCCCTGCTCCTGGTTTCGCCCCGCCTCCTCGTCCTTAACCTTGCCCCACACTTGCGTTTTGCTCCGCCCCTGCTCTGCATCCCGCCCCTACTCTTCACCTGGTCTCGGTTTTTGTTTCTCGCTTTGGCTGAGCCCCACCTATTTTCCCCAGTCCTGCTACTCCCTCTGGTCGCGCACCTGCGCCTGGCTCCGCCCCCACGTCTTGCCCCGCCCCCCCACTTCTCTTCGCACCGCCCCCTTCTCCTTCCTCTGGCCCTGCTCAGGTACGTGGTCCTGCACCTAGCCTCGCCCCTCTCTCGGTCCTGGGCCCGGACCTTCCCCACGCCCCGCCCCTTCCCCGGTCCCTGCCTCTGTTTCTCGCCTAGAGCTGGATCCCCGCTCCGCTTCCACTCTTTGTCCCGCCCTTGTTCCTCGACCCGATCCTGTTCTCCGGCCCGCCCCTTATCGACCCGCCCTTTCCCCTTGTCCTGGGCGAGCTGTTCTTCCTGAGGATGTTCCTCGCCCCGCCCCCGCCTATGGCCCCGCCCCTTCTCCTTAGAGACCCTCTCTTCGCCTTCGGATGTCTTCTCGCTGCCGGCCTTCCCCGCGCCGCGAGACGCCTGCTCGCCTTTTGCTCTCTCCTCACCCCGCGCCCTCTCCTCGCCCCGCACCTTCTCGCTCCACACCGGCGCTCCCTTGTCGGTCGGCACCTTCCCGATCCTCACCTTCCCCCCAGACCGCGACACCTTTTCGCCCCACCCGTTCTTCTCACCACCCCTTTCCATGCCCTGGACAGCCGCCGGCTCCTCCCCTCAGCCGCTCCCTGCTCCTCGCCCCGCCCCCTGCTCCTCGCCCCGCCCCTCCTCCGCCCCTCCCCTCCGCGGCCCG